GCAAAGGTGGTCGAGGCTTTTCATTGACGACATCCATCAAAATCAAGATAAAAACCTTCCGTATAAAAGAAATAAGATCTAAGTAAGATAACATTCTACTTTCAATCCTTGTTTGTAGCTTCTTTGTAGTTATAATACTAAAGAGATGGAGAACCAATAATCAGTGGATTCTATTGAAAAGCCTTTATTTACTGATTTATCAAACAAGACATTATAACTATCACAACCTTCAAGATGATACAATCGAGATGAAGATCCTCAAGAATAATATTTTTTTCCTCGAATAGATGGTAAGATATAATACGTTTGGTATCACGACCTTAAAAGTTCTGATTATGTGGCCAATACAATTTATTGCATCATAGATTTTCTCAACATATGATAACTACTCCTCATAGAATTCGTCCCTAGAAAGGGAGATAATATCTTGGACATACATATATAAGCTGGTAATTACCTATATAAATAGATAGAAGTAAGTAGAAGTAAATAAAAATAAGTTAATTTTATAATATCTTCTATAAGAGCTTCTTAGAAGCTTCATAGATACTACTTTGACTTTATAGGTGTCTATACTTGACTTTTTGAGTTAGAAAAGTTTTCAACAAGTTGGCCATGTGCCACACATGTTGTTAGCTTGAAGACTAAGCTAATTATGTCGCCCACACGTAGAAAAACTTACCTTGTAAGTTAAAGTATGTATCCTACAAAGTCAACACATATTGAAGGTCCTATAGAACATTGCTACATAGCCCCTAGTTAGATAGTATATATAGAGACAAGAGTGAAACCCTCTTCACTCTTGTTAATTCTTTTCTTGCCTCTAGTCTAGTTTTAAGAGTTTCAAGTTTTCTTATCTTTTGGCAATAAGCCTTTTGAGTTTCTTTTTAATATACGTACTTCATTATTTCTATTTTTTTACTCTTTCTTTGATATGGATTTTATTGATTTATACATCATCTTTTAGTTCATGTCCTTGATATTATACTAGTGAAATTGGCTATTTTTTATACATTTATGTCTTATCAAGAAAAAGGGGTAATCCACTCTTAATCAAGAAAAGACAAAGCTCTGATATTGTAAGTGTACTCTTGTCAATCTGTCAAGGACAAGAACTCGATGAAAGCTAAAGAGTAAGTGAGACTTTTCTCAAAAAGAAATAGGACAAAATAGAAATATGTATATTAAGAAAGAAACTGGAATGGCTATTGCCAAAATACAAGAAAACTAGAGACCCTTGAAACTAGACTAGAAGCAAGAAAGGAGTTGACAAGAGTGAAGAGGGCTTCACTCTTGCCTCTATATATACTATCTAACTAGAAGCCACGTGGCGATGTTCTATAAGACCTCCAATATATGTTGACTTTCTAGGCCACATGCCTTTGCTTGCAAGGCAAGTTTTCTATGGATGGACCACGTAGTTAGCTTGTTCTTTAAGCTTCCAACATGTGTGGCACATGGCTAACTTGTTGACCAAGTTTCTAACCTAAAAGTCAACTATAGACTCCTATAAAGTCAAAGCAGCGTCTATGAAGCTTCTAAGAAGCTTCTCTAGAAGATATTACACAATTAACCTACTTTTATCTACTTTTACATACTTTTATCTATTCATATAGGTAATTATATGTATGTCCGTGACATTCATAGGTTAAGAAATGTCTCTACAAGCACTATCATTTCTATTAACACTACTCTATTATCTTGCTTTATATTCATTTATTTATGTATATCTTTTAGCTTGTTTATATGCCTTTTGTCTTTTTTGTCTAATTATACAATAATTGGATATAAGTGTAATGTTATTCAAATCATTTTTGTGTACACTAATTATGTACACATGCTTGCACATGTCCTTCCTCATCTTCGTGTATTCTTTGTCTTTGACATTCAATTTCTTAACAATTAAGGGACTTAATTTATTTTTATTTTTAATGCAGATTTCCATTGCCATCAACCAATCTATCTTCTAAATTTCCTTATGTCATTTTTTTAATGAGCAGATTGCTTTATTTTTTTATGTGCCATGTGTAAATATTGTACAATTTCTTTACAGTTTTGTATCTTTAAAGTTGTTAAATTTTTCTATTTTTTAAGATTTTAATTCAATCTAAAATATTTTAAGTAAATAATTACAAAATAGCATTAAGAAAAAAAAATAACCTTAAAGTGCCAAATCAGAAGTCAAATCTTAGCATTTGGACTTGTGAATTTGAGCCAATTACAAATTCTTATAAAAAATAATTTTTTTGGGATCAATATTCAATTCATTGTGCCAAATTGGATGGTTATTTTTAACATTAAGTTTTTAACTTGTTATTGGCTTGTATTCACTTCCCACACGTTAATTTGGACTTTAGAATTGACCACTTTTGATATGATTGTATTTTGAGTACCTAATTTTTTATTTTTTATTTTTTTTTCTTATTTTTTTTAAATATTTGATAAAAATACGCATTCAAAAATCCACAATTTATACTTCAATTTCAGTTTATTTGTCAGTATCTAACAAAATATAATCAAACTTCTATCGAAGGAAGCATAATACATTTGCTTTTCGAATGAATATACTTACATAATATTTGAACATGTATTTATAGATAAAAAAGCAATTGATTGCCAAAAAGAAATATTTTTTTAAAGCTGCATAATTTGATTAGTTGCAAACAAAATGTGATATGATTAAAAAAGTTGTCTCTTTGTAGGTAAGAACTTTGAGATTGATTTTGATTTGAGAATAAAACTTTTGGGATCTAAGAATCGGTATCATGAAGACAAACCAATTTTTGATGCCAAAAAAAGTGCTCTTAGCATCAAAACATTAATTACAACAAAAAAATTAGTAATTTTGGCCAATATAAAGTATTTGTTATCTCTTTGTCTTTATATTTTTATATCTAAACTTCCTTGTTATAAAAATGGTGTTTTACTCAAAAAAGATAAACAACAAACAACAAACATTTTTTAACCTTACATACAATTAAAACATCCAAAGTAAGGTAATAGTCATGAACATAATAAACCAAGTTATAAAAAGAAAAATGTATTTATAAAAGGAACGTCCAAATATCAAAAAGCATGTTGCCACAATATACTTTAAAATTCCAGTATAAGATTTTTTTTTTAGTTTTTTTACTTTTTCCTTTAATTTTTTAAAGTAGATGAAATTTTATCATTTGAAAAAAACTGATTAATACTTCATTAAATTTTAAAGAAGTTTAAATAAAACAAAATTGTAAGCAATGTTACCAAATTAAGATGGTATAGGTTCTATACAATCTTTTTAATATATTCCATCTCAATATTTTATTCACAAAATATATATAACAAATTATACAACCTTCTTTCAATTACAGCTATAATCTATTCCTTTGAAAATAAAATAAAAATTATAATCAAAATAGTTGATTCAATATTACATTATTCTACAATTATTAGATAGAATTCATTTTTTCATTCTGATTTTTGCACATATGTGTAATAAAATATCATATATAATTAACTTCAAAAAAAATACTTGATCACTTGAATGAACTAGATTTTTTCAAAAAAGAAAGAAAATGAAAGTATAAGAAAGAAACTAAAAACCCTTAATTGTTAATTTACAACTGCCCATCACAATGTGATTTTTAATAGAATACATTGTGTTTTGTATTTGAATGAATAAATTACGTGCAAAAAAATTCAAATTTATCTCTATTTTAATATCCGTCATATATATATATATATATTTCTTATCATGCCATGTATTTTGAACCTTTGGGAAACACTGTCGAGACGAAATTTGCAATGCAACATTAATGAAGACTGTTGTTTGACACGGTGCCAAGAAAATTCTTATGAGTCGTATCTTTTTTCATAATTGTTTTGTAAATTTCAATACTTCAGATGTCATGCATTAAAATAAATTTCTTGAACTAAAATAAATTTTTGAAATCCATCATTCTCATAATACTATTGCATGATTTTCAGTATTTTTATTGTGTGCAATCTAAAATTACATCAATGCCAGTTCCATAATTACCATGAACTTTTTGGAAAAGTATTGTTTACAATGTATAAAATTGTAGAAGTACTACATTCTCTAACTATGAACCTTTGATATTTAAAACAGTGAATGCAACCCAGCAAATTGATGTTGATTAACTCGATACCAAATTTTAATGAAATCATGTTCAGTTCTTATGTATATGAGTCTTAGTATTTATCACACACATACCTTTTAGAAATTGATTTTAGATTTAATTTCAGGAAAACAAAATATATATATAAATATATATAGGGATTTATCAAATTGACCCCAGAATTGATTGAATTGACCCATCACCATCATCATTGGTTGAGAATCCAACAAATTTTTCATTGGTTTTTGACCAATTTGGATTCAATAGTGGAGAATTTTTTAATAATGGATATGAAAGATGGGTTGATTTGATAAATACTTGGGTCAATTTAACAAGTCCCCTTGTATGTATATGTATATATATAATAAAAAAAGATAAATATTTATGTAAAAGTATATGTATCAATAATATACACACAAATATGTTTGAGGCAGTATGTACGTAATCATTCTCCTCTAACGGTGCACTATACATTTCGCGGATATCAGCACAACTACCATAGAACCAGAGTAAGAGAGATGAGTCAAAAGCCTGAGAATAATTTCTCATCTATCGAGATGACTTTCTCTACACACGTGGCACTCCAACTCAGTCAGAAGCCCCAAAAGACGACCCAGTCCCCTGCCAACTCACCAGATGGCATCACACTGTTGACGTCCACATATCATACGATGACATCATCGTTCCCACGCTGTTCCTTTACGTGCGCAGGCAAGTTCCCCCCAGCTTCTGGGAACCAAAACAGCTACGCCCCATGGATCCAACTGGCAGTTGTTCTTGGTGACCCAATCAGACGCTGCTTTACGTTCCCTTGTGGGGCACTCACGTTCGCAAGAGTTCCCTGGCACCGTAGAGTTGGTGTGGAAGCTCCGAGGGAGGTAAGGAGAAAAGATTTCACGGCGCGTCTCTCCAGCTAGCATCCGTATCAGAACAATTCCACGAGGAAAGTCGTGAAATTGAGAGGAACCCAGTTTGTAAAGCACTCTCCAGTGTAGTATTTTGCATTTGCAGGGCTATGGTGGAGCCAATTTTTCCCTCTATTTCGTTTCTAAGGCTTAAGAGAGCTCAGGTGTAGAGGTTTGGGATTTCGGGGGGGGGAAGGCGATGCGGCTGATTTTTGATATGGGGATCGTTGTTCCGAATGAATAATTTGCGTGGTGGTGCGTTCGGGTGAAGTATGAATCGATTTTTTGAGTGAGTGAAGGGGTTTTTGGTGGAATTCCCTCCAGGCTTTCATTTTCTGGAGCGTTTCTAGCTTAGCAAGGTTGGTTGGCACTGCATGTTCTTTAATTTTTAAGCCTCTGAATTCTTTTTGCGCTTTACTTGGTTGCATGCTAGTCTGCAGAAGCGGTTGCTTGTTTTCAAAGCCGGTGATAGGTTTTTGAATCGGATGAGAGGCGTTTCTGTTAAGGATTAGGGAGCTGATTCTTAGGTATATAGTTAAAAGTGACCCTTGCTTGTTCAGTGTAATTTCGAGTCTTAACTTCTTTCAACGTGTGGTTGTGTAGTAATAATACTCCTTGTATAAGGTTTTTCAAAATCCGTCGCTGTACTTCAATTTTCCATTGTTTGGATTCCAGGTTTACCGAAAATAGTCAGGAGTTGTGACGGCAGTCGATCTCTTTTCTAACAGCAGCCATTTATTTCAAGGTACAAATCGACTCAAGTGGACGAGTAGTCATACTTGAAGCATTTTCTCTGTGTAAATGCGCCGTTAAAAGTGATATTCCCATGAATATAGAAAAGTTTCTTGAAAACTTTGTGTTGAGCTGCTTTCACTTTTCACAGTAACATTACTTTAATTTTTACCGAAGATTGAACTATTTGGGTATCCAGGTGTTTGTAGAGTTCGTGCTCTCTGGTTTGTCACGCCAATCTATTCTTTACTTTCTGCACTTTAGAGTTGTAACAAAAGTGCTGCCATAGAGAGGTAAATGATTAAGTCACAGGGTTTTGGTCAATCTTGCCACAATATACAGTCCAGTTTACAGAAACAGCTTTGCCAATGGACGGGTTATTGTATAGTTCAATCGAGGGGAAAGTGTAATGCGATAATCTAAAAATATTAGCGAGCTTCCGATCGCAGGTGTCATTATTTCTGACTCTACGACAGCATTTGATATGATGCATGAATTTCTCCCCTGAGGAATTGGTCTACGTTGTTTCTGCAGGGAATTTCGAGCTTGTGTAAACTGAAGAAGAAATGCAACGGGCCGACGTTGCAGTATCGTTTGATGGCACTGAAGGTCCAAGAGGGCAAGCTTATTTGCGGAGACCAGCCTCCCACGTGCAACAACAGTCACAAGGTCGCCCCGGGCCATCACCTGCGCTCAATGGACCTGGACCTGGATCTGGACTCCCTTTCATGACTTTTGATTTAGCATCTGGATCAGGATCTAGTGCACCATTGTCTCATATTAGTGGATATGGGGGTAGCAGTAGCATCGGTGGATATGCTTCTTTTGAAGACGAACCTCCCCTTTTGGAAGGTATTTAATTTGTTTTCCCCCTTATATCCCCTCTATCGCTTCAGTACGTAAAATTAAGTTTGAGCGATTGACTTTCTTGCCTCTGCTTTAAACTTTAATCCTACTGAAATTATGAGAAACTACTTGTGAGATGCACAGAACTTGGTATCAACGTTGGGCAAATCACACAAAAGATGCTGAACTTACTCAACCCATTCAAAGTGGATCCAAGCCTACATGAAGATCCGGACCTGTCCGGTCCTTTCTTATTTTGCATGATTTTTGGAATTGCACAGCTTCTGTCTGGGAAGTTGCATTTTGGTGTCATTTTAGGGTGGACATCAGTTGCATCAGTGTTTTTGTATTTGCTATACAATCTCTTAGCAGGGCGAAACGGCAGTATCGACTTATATCGATGTGTTAGCCTTGTTGGTTACTCTTTGGTGCCAGTTGCGGTCTTCTCGATGATCTCCATCTTCTTACCCAAAACGTAAGGCGCATCTCTTCTCAATCTTAATTATGATCTTTTTCTCTGATTAGCAGGCTTTGCAAATGAATCTATCAAGTTTTAATAGATTTGGCAAGGGCAGGTAGATTGATCAGTCTGCAATTACAAAAAGCAAAGTTTCTGCAATGTAAAGTGATCACTTACAGACCACTGATTGAGGTCCGTAAGTGTAGTTTCTGTTACTCTAAATTCGTTTTATAATATACTGAGTGATGGGGTGTTGGATGTGCCCTCTTGCAGGAGCATATTTCGCTATATATTGGGAGCAGTGACCGTCCTATGGTCCTCAAATGCATGCACAAACCTTATGATTCTTCAAGTGCCACATGGTGGAGATTTTCGTTCTCTGATTGCCTATCCATGCGCCTTGATATATGTAGCCTTCTCGCTCCTGGTTATTTTCTAGCTTTGATGTTTAGGAGGATACTGGAGTAGCTGTAAGATTCTGTAAGCATACACAATTCAGGTTTAAACTGGGTACGAGCCCAGGTCATGTGCGCAGCTAGTCGTGTAGATTAATCCAGGAGTCGCTTTATCTGTAAAGTATGCACATTGAATTTTGTAAATCTGTTAGCAAGCGCACCAGGTTTTATAGTTACCTCAAGTTTTCATATCAAAGTTAAGTAGATCGAGGGTATTTATTTATTTCTTTTGAAAATTGCTGAATCTGGCACGTTAGAAATCTTGGAAACTAGGATTGATATGCATTTTGTAACTTCACTGAGAACAACTGTGCATCCAAGATTGAAATTACTAAGTAGACATTTGTCCTTTTCAGTAGATTATTTGGAAATTTTCAGCTGGTGAAGATTCAGCTCTTTTAAAGAAAGCATTTCCCACTACCAGCTGGTGTTGCTTTCAGGTCAAGATCATTAATATTAGTCAGCAAAAGCCCTTATTCTAGGAATAAAACCCCATATTTCAAGATTCTGCAGGAATGTGGATATTGTCACACTCCAGCTGTCCTCACATCTTGAAGCTAAGCTCCATGAGAAACGCAGAATTTCAGTATACGCAAGAAGAATTACAATGGCCCACTTTGCTAACAGATTAGACATTAGTCGACTACAAATCCTTGGTCTCACCTCAGGCTTTTCCTGCACATGTGATTTGTTCAAGGTTTAGGCTTAAAATTGTGTTGTAGTTCACAACTTGAATAATTTTAGACCAAAATTCTTACAATATAATGAGTTGTTTTATTTATATATATATATATATATATATATATATATATAGGAAAATGATAAAGTGATCCAAATTTTTACTAAATGATTCCACATGTTTAAACCATCATTGTATTCTTTCAACCCTATCCCTATTTCCAACCATTCCCTTATTCCTAATAGTCACCCTTGTTCTCAATCCCTTGCCCCCAATTCCAATGTTCCGAACTCCTTGCCTCCATCGTTAGCAATGGTTGGGAATGAGAAATGGTTGGGAACAAAGATGGGAGCTGCAAGGGTGCAATGATAGTTAAGATAGAGTGGATTGTTTTAGTAAAAATTTAGGTCACTTTATCATTCTCCTATATATATATATATATATATATATATATATATAATTTGTACTTATTAACATCTCTTCATCTTTTTTAAACTAGACCTTTTGAATATGTTTATGTACTTGCTTATTATACTTAAAAAGATATTTTAAAGACAAGTCTTAGTTATTTTTAGGATTAATTTTTTTTGGTAATTTATTCAATTCTTTTGGCAAAAAAGAATTTAAAGAAGTTCATCTTTTATTTTCATACTAATAAGTTTCATTGATCTAAATGCATCAAAATCATATATCATTTTGAATGGGCAAAATATTCACAATATTATGGAAGTTGTATAATAACCAAACTCCACCATTGGAAGTCAATCTATTAAATTACCATGATTAGCTACTACATAAAGTCTTATATATATGTTAATGATTCTTTTAAACTTTTCACTTTGATTATCACTTTTTGGATGCTAAGCAATGGTTATAATAATCTTAAATGATGATTTCCATATTTCATATTATAAAAATATTAGATAAAACTACATATTCTTATTACTTGCTATAACTTTGGATAAGTCATAAAAATCCATTGACTTATGATAGAATGTTATTGCGATTATATTAATTGTGGTTTGTAACTTTTTTTTGCTACTTACTTTTAAGTATAGACCATTCTTTGCTTGTAAAACATCAAGTTGTTTTTTTTTTTTTTATTTAAGAGACTTCAATGAATCTCTTCTAATATTGAGTTATTTATGTCTATATATATATATATATATATATATATATATATCTATAGAGATATATTTTTTTCTTATGAAAGAGCTTATAATATTTTCTTAGCATTTTTTTTTGTTTGTAATCTTCTTTTATATCTTAGATGAAAAGAGAATAATTACTCTACTTAATCATCTTTAATTAAATTATATCATACAACTTTGTTTGCATATCTTCTTTGTTCTTGCTAAGTGCATCAAGCACAAGATTGTCTTAAATTAGTTTTTGAAAAAATTTCACATCTATTGAAACCATCATATCATACTATCAAAGTTTTTTTAGAAAAATTTGTGCTTTTGATTGGAAGTATTTGAGTAATATGCTATCTATTAAGACCTCCCACCACAATAGTGTCTCCATTGTTTTAGACAACACACTACTATACACAACTCTTTATCATGAGTTTGTCATCTCAATTGGCATTCAATTAACTTTTCAATTTGAAAAGAACTCATATTACTATGCAATTTGAATGAAAGATCAAAATGAAGGTACTTCAATGTGCTCATTGACATTAAAATTTCTTTTAAGATTTAGAAGACAACTTGACATTTGTCATTTCATTCAACAATCCTATTTTCTTTAGTAAGGAGAAAAATAAAGAATCTTGAAATGTTAAAAAAAAAATCATATATTTTTTATGGTAATTAAAAAGATCTAAAAATAAATTGATACATTTTGTATTGTTGAAGCTTTCTTTTCCTAAATAGATATAAGTTTTTATGTCCAACTTTGTGACTTTAACATTTATTCTAAAAAATCTAATTCTATTCTAAAATAAAAATTGTTCTACATACTTGAATATGATTTATTGTCTCTTAATTTATTAAAAAAATATTTAAATATTAAACAATTTTTTATTTTTATTTTTTAAAATAAAATATTAATATATGTATTTTTATAAATTTATAGTATTTAATAATAAAATATAGAGTTTGTGAAGATATTAAAAGTAATTAGTGTGTTATGTGGTCCAAATAACATGATCAAAAATTGAATAATCTAAATTTATAACTTAATATCTTTCTTTCTCATAAATAGTATTAATATTTTTAATAGAAATTTTATGAAATTGAATGTAGTCTTTATTAAATAACTTATTAATTTTTTTTATTTTTATTATTACATTTCACTTGATTTAATAATTTCTTTTAGAAATTTTTAATCTAATAGTGAATTTATCATATAATCAATTCATAGACCTAGAGAAAATTCTTTTGAAAACTTATTTTTTTATAACATCTTATAACTCTTAATGATTTTGATTTATATTAGAACCAAGAGTAAGATTTAAAAATAGGATTTATTTCCACCAAATCAGAACTATAATTATGATAAAATTTGGTATATATATTTTTAATAAGTTAAAAACAAAGTTGGTGAATTTTAGAAACAATGAGGTTTATAGTTTATAGACAACAAAATTTGAAAGCAAAGAGGATTGGACTATATTGGTAGAGGTTTTTATTTTATTTCTAACTTTGAGTCATCAAGTAGTAGCTTGGACCTTATGGAAATGGGATAGTGGCTAAGGTGATAGAATGACATTTTAAATATTAGATTCAAACCTCACCGCTTTCTATATGTGGTGGAAAAGAAAAAAGGAGAGAAATATAATATTCTCTAAAACTTTCCATCTATTTATTGAAGATGATTAAATGGTTGGTACTACAATGCTTATATTAAAAGATTATATTAGTTGACTTTTATCTATAAATAAGACAAAGAAATCTTTTTTAATAGTAGCATGCTGTGTAGCACCTATGCCCTCTTTGTACCCATCTTCTTGATAGATTAATAATTTATAAATAATAGACTAACAAAAAATTAAGTAAGACTAGATATATAACATGTCATATTCTAAACATACATAAATAAAATATTTTAATTAGTAGATTAATCAAGCAAGATTTTGCATATAAACAAACAAATAAAATATACAAAGAATTAATTTGATGATATTAATAGTGGTCTTGAGGATCAACTTTAGAAAAAAAATTATTTTATATGTTAATTTGTGTAGAAATAAGAAATTAGATAAGATCTTAGGTTCTTTTATAAGAAAAAAATTAAAAAAGATTACATTAAATATTAAATTTAAAAGTAGAAATCTTTTTAAAATAGGATATAAAAATTCTTAACAAAATATTTATTTTTTATTTTCATAAAAATTTTAATCCAAAATATTATATACATTGAATTGCAAAGAATTAAAGGAAGTATTGAATTTTATTAGATTTTTTTTTAAGAAGAGATAAAAGCAATTAGTTCAATTAGAAGTAGAGAAAGGCCTATTACTTTTTTAAGATAAGATCTTCTTGCAACAACAATATTTTATATTATAACATAGTTATCAAGTTAAAAAAAGATGAAAGTGTTATATTATAGAAGATAAAAGTTAAGAAGATAATAAAATTAATGACTACTAATGCAATTTTTTTGTAAAAAAACTTCTACTTACTTTGTAGGACCATAAACAAAGAAAAATAAGATTGATTAGAAAAAAATATATTATAGGAATTTATAAGTAGAAGTGAAATTGAAAAATCAGCAAAAATTACATAGATAAATCTTAGATTGATATCCATAGAGGACTAGTTATGAACTAGTATCAAAACTAGACCTTGAGGCACAAAACCACATGCATACAACAAATGAGGTTCTTTTTTGTTGATTAGAATGTGGAATTAAAGAAAAAGAAAAAGAAAAAGAAAGAAAAAAAAAAAATCTATAAGAGTTTTTTTTTAAGGATTTGAGTGCATGTTTTGACTTTGTGGGAACCTTGAAATGTTAAGGTTGTTTTGGATGACTCTATTTTGTATTAAATAAAAACAAGATTTTATTTTGATACAATTGTATAAATTTTCTAGTAAAAATATTAGTGAAATTTGGTGAATTAATAAAAAGAATTTATGCTCTATATTTTTTTTAAATTTGAGTCCAATTGGACGGTCAAATCAAACATAATTAAGGTTCAAGTGAGATATGGTCTTAGAAACTACAATTTGAAGGTTAGTAAGGACTTTTTAGATTTAAAAAAATATATATATTAATTTGGAATAATTTCTTTGTGTATTGATAGCTGACTAATATTTTTACATTCTTTTAAATTCTAAAGCAAATTAAATGGTTCAATGGTGAGATGTTGAAACTAAAAGTTACGCTTTGAAGTTGGAGAAAGAAGACAGTGGACAGTCAAGCAAATTAGAAGCATTTTCTTTCAACTTGTAAATTAGATCTTCTTCAAACTTTGTGTACTTATTTTCAACTAACAAATTGATTTTTTTCAAATGTTTGAATTAAAATCAATGGTTAATATAATATTTATTGGGATTTAAAATTTTCTATGGTATTTATTTAGAACTTGATTAAGATTCTATTGGAATTTGGTTAGATTTTAATTAAAATTATTTTTGGGATTTATTTTTAATTTCTTTAGAATTTCTTGTAATTTATTTAGAATTTCTTAAAGATTTATTTAAGGATTGTTGTGATTTCTGTAGAGTTTCTTAAGTATTTCTTTAATATTTTTTGTGATTTTTTCAAGGATTATTATTTATTTATTTAATTAAGG